TATTGAGAAAATCATCTTTAAAGTTGTTCAAATGAAGTTCTTAGCAATGCATATTACTAATCAAAAATTAAGTTTTGATATATTTACGGTAGAACATTTACAAAATATCTTCATGGAACATGATCTTAATATCCTAATGATTTTTGGCATAAAAGAAAAATTGATAATTTTGACCCATACAATGTATTGTTGGCTACTGCTACAAATATCCCCCAGCGACTTAACACTGCTTTTGTGCTGCAGGGTCACGAATGTGGATTTACTGCTTCCTGTCTCCATACGTACCGTAATCAGCTGGACTTGTGCCGGGATAGAAACCAGGAGAACTGGCCACCTGATACTGCTGAGGAGTCACGTATGAGGGACGGTACTGAGAGAGAGAGAGAGAGAGAGAGAGAGAGACAGACACTGACTCATCAAAAACCATGACTGTCCCGTTTCAGGCCATTTTTCCATCCACCCAACAATCCTCCCCCTTTTTAGAGTTGCACAATTAGGAACGGTACAGAGTTTAGAAAGGGGAGGAGTCAGCAGAATCAATACACTGAGAGAATGTGTGTGTGTGTGTGTGTGTGTGTGTGTGTGTGTGTGTGTGAGTGTGTGCGCGCGCAGAACATCCTGTGCTGGGGTATAACAAACTAAAAATCGCCCCCCCCCCCCCCCCAAAAAAAAAAATTTTAATCCGTTACGTGAAATAAAAAATATATAAAATAGTAAAGTAAAATGGATTTAGGAAATTTTTTTTTAATCATTTGTAGGGCCGTATGAACATTTTTTTCCCCCTTCCAAATTCCATTTGTTCAATTTTTATTCTTCTGGACTCCTTTTTAATGGTTCAATTAAATTGAAAGCTTGTTGTTCGCATGTCTAATTAAAATCATTACAATTATTAAATTTCACATCAATTTATTAAAAGTTTAACAAAAACGACATGCTTAGGGCCCTATGGAATGTTTTATTTTTTCTCACCATATGTTTTATTGTTACCAAATTCTGTGTTTTAGCATGTCTAATCATTTGAATGTATAAAAACAACTTAATTTATTCAAATTTATACTTAAAATAGCCTTATGAAATGTTTTTTCCCCCCCTCAGAAATTCTGTGTTTAAATTTTTCTGGTTATCAAATGAAGGCACAACACATAAATTTTGTCTATCTTTTAATTATTGAAAATTAAACAAACTTTTTTTTGGCAATCAAAGGGGATTTACACGTTTAAAGTTAAAACATGGAATAAACGTTGTGTGATTATTCCTTAAAAAAAATACAGTTTTAATAATTTTAGTAGTAGTAGTAATAGTAATAGAAGTAGCTTAATATGTACATTCCACTGAACAATAGTAATATATCTCTGGCACGATGTCTTCAAGTAAAACCGAACTTTTATTTTGAGGAGTCGCCTTGAAAACCTTTACATTTCTGTGTGCATATGATATGAGGCTAGTTTTACTCAAATCATATGGTAAAATGCTCGTGAAGTGACTCTCAGAACAGTTCTGGAGATTGTTCATGTATTTATGTGCGTGCTTCAGTATGTGCGTAGTAAACGAAACCGTTCGTTAAATGGTCTTTTGTGGCTTAATATTTACAGACACTGGTTCCAATATCGTGATCTGATTTAAGTGTAATGACCTACTTTTGATGAATTCATCCAAACTTTGGCAAATTCTGTGACATACAGTAAACTCAGTTTTTATGACTGGATTTCGTGATTCCATCCGCGTTTTGGAAATCATAGGGCCCTATCATTTGTATAGAACATCTAGATTATTCTAATTCATTCCCATTTAAAGAGTTAGTTCACCCAAAAATGAAAATTAGCCCATGTTTTACTCGCCCTCAAAGCATCCCAGGTGTATATGACTTTCTTCTTTCAGACTAATATACACCTGGGATGCTTTGAGGGCGAGTAAAACATGGGCTAATTTTCATTTTTGGGTGAACTAACCCTTTAAGATGATTATATAAATCATATTTATAAATGAGATCTCTGGACTTGCTTTAAGTCTTCAGTACACCAGTGTTATTTTAGTATCACTGATGTACTATGAGTTTTGTTGTATGATAATTTTTTATTAGTTTGCATCTACTATTGTTTTTATTTATTTTCGGTTTTCATTTTAATTTTAGTTAAAGTTGTATTCACGGTGTTGTGTTTTTGCCATTTGTATTAGTTTTCTTTAATGTCTAAATAGTTTTATTTTTTGGTTACAAAACAAAAAATGAAATATGTTCCCTTGGCAACTGATGTACTATGAGTTTTGTTGTATGATAATTTTTTATTAGTTTGCATCTACTATTGTTTTTATTTATTTTCGGTTTTCATTTTAATTTTAGTTAAAGTTGTATTCACGGTGTTGTGTTTTTGCCATTTGTATTAGTTTTCTTTAATGTCTAAATAGTTTTATTTTTTGGTTACAAAACAAAAAATGAAATATGTTCCCTTGGCAACTAGCTGAAATAGAGTTTTTTAATGTTTTATTTCAAGTAATGTTTTTTACTTTGCAGTTGATAATATCTGTGGAAAATTTTATTTCCCAGGAAAAAAAAAAAATCATAATCTTTCTCACAATTTCACATAGAATATATAATAAATATTATAATCAATTACATAATTCGACAATTACATAAAAATATACATTATTATTATATTAACTCTTTCCCCGCCATTATTTTTGAAAAAAGTTGCCAGTCACCGCCAGGGTTTTTGATGATTTTCACAAATTTCATAGCCCCCAGAATATATTGTTGTATGAATATCTGAACATGCAATACATCAAAATAAAGAACTGACCCTTCAATTTTAAAGGGGTCATTGGATGCCCATTTTCCACAAGTTAATATGATTCTTTAGGGTCTTAATGAAAAGTTAGTAACATAGTTTGGTTAAAATGTCTCAATGGTCGTGTATAAAACAACTTTTTTTACCGTCAAAAACAGCTCTTTTCAGAGCAAGCTGTTTTGTAGCATTTTCCTTTAAATGTTAATGAGCCCTGTTGACTCCGCCCCTCTCTTCCAAGCTGCTCTCCTAGAGACTGTTTACTTTAGCCGCATTCATCGTGAAACTGGCTAATTAGCACATTATTAGGAAAGGTGATTTGCAAAGATTCACTAAAAAACCTTATACTCACTTCTTCTGTAGGTGAAGCTGGATCACGAATGATTCGCGCGAACAGACGCATTTATGCCGATCGGAGGCACATTCCCTTCAAAAACAAACGTAATGCACTACGTCTTCAGCGGCTCAGATGTCGGGAGTAAATGACGACCGCTATGTTCATTATTACATCCAACAACAATACACCTCAGTCGCTTAGAAGTCATTCTTGTCTACATCTGCTCCGGCGGTGAAACAATGGTGGACTGATGACAGTCACTCAGGGGCGGAGCTAAGGTAAGACACCAGTCCAGTCTGTGCTGAAACACTACTGTCAATCAAACTATCGTGGGAGGGGCCTGTGAGGCCATCTGAGATCGGCTCGATTTGAGAAAGGGGTAAAGATTTTAATAGATTAAAAAAACACACTGGGTGGATCTTTATCATTATAGGGTGGTTGTGTACACACACTGCCAACACACATTTCAGTTCAAACAACTTGTAAAAGCGCATGCAGCATCCTATGACCCCTTTAAAAAAAAAAATCAGTTTTATTCTAGCTTCAAGCATTCTTTTTTTATCAACACTTGATTGTAGGTAGGTTTCATAAAAATTTAACATTTTGAGCAAAAAGCTGAGAAAATCGCATTTTATCAAATGCTACATCTGGATCATATTCAGTAATATTATCAAAGCAAAGATGCAGTAGATGGCTTCTATCAGCACTCCCAAAGCTCGCACAGTCTTTCACCACTTCCTAGATCCACATTTCGCTCGGTAGCATTAGGCAGTTTTCATTCATATGCGGTTAGTGTTGATGATCGCATTATTTTTCATATGCATATGCTTACATATGAGATCTTCCTCGTCTGTGCTTTTGATCGAGTGATTCTAGACTCATTAACGAGATGCGTAATAGCACCCCCTAGCGTATAATAGCGAGAATGTGAAAACCCAGAAAATTCTGTGTTTGGCGGGGAAAGAGTTAATATATATTACCCTTACATAACTACATTGTGTTAGCTTGAAGGACAATTAACTATTTTTGACTACTTTAAATTAAAAGCAGTTTGGCACCAACTGCACCAAGAAAAAAATTTAATGTTCATATTTTCTTGTGAAATAAATGAACTCTTTAATTCATGCGTATGCAGCGATGCTGTATTATGGATATGTTTGCTCTTACCTGGCCAGGTATATAGTAAGCCGTGCCTTGTGAATTGGGGAAGCTGATTGGTTGCTGGGGAATCATCATCATCTGGGAGGGGCCAGGCTGGAACACGTGAGGGGGGCGGGGCCCATGTGGAGGGGGGATGGGCCGAGAGGCGGGGCTTGGCTGGACACGCCCAGAATTGGCGGGTAAATTGGGCCGACTGGTATAGTACGGCTGAAAGGAGAGAAAAACACAGACACTCGACTTTTTAAGCTATATTATTATCAAATATTGGATTCAGTCTTTTCATTTCAGCAGAAATTAACCTGAATGAATAGGGCTGGGTAAAAAAATAAAATAATATATCGATATCTCGATTGTAATCGATTCTCATTTTTATGAAACGATATCGATTCTTAAATCCCAAGAATCGATCAGTCTAGCCTGTTTTCAGTTACCGGACGGAAGATTGAAGGCACCTCCCATTCAATTAATCGCAATAAGCATTGTGCGTTGGTACTTTTAAAATGAAACAAAGTCTCAGATTTAAATTCTGTGCATTGTATTGCAGTATTCAAACAATAAACGCAATTTTGGCGCTGTTTAATGTGGAGTGACAGATCTCTGTAGTGCCTCATGTGAACTGATCATCTCCCCCACTTTAATACTAGTTATAGCACAAAATAAACATGACTAAACATCCGAGGGTAAGTTAAAAGAGCACAACTTTACAATCCGTACCCAGTCTCATGTAATCGCTCAATCAGTGTTTCGTCTGTGCAAAGACGCCAATATAACGGCTTGTAAACAATATGTCACGTAACGTCACATTTACCTCAGAAAAAACATATTCGGTGACCGTTAAGTTATTAGTCAGATAGAAAAATAAACTTGAGAGAGGGGCATTTTGCTAAATATATGCACCATATAACATATTCATTCAAATTTTTACTGTTCTTCAATGTTTAATTTAAATTTGTTTATGACAGCCACCATTTGAATGTGTGTATATATATATATATATATATATATATATATATATTCTGGATTTTTTTTCTCATTTTGTCTCTCATAGTTGAGGTATACCTATGATGAAAATTACAGGCCTCTCTCATCTTTTTAAGTGGGAGAACTTGCACAATTGGTGGCTGACTAAATACTTTTTTCCCCCACTGTATATATATATATATATATTATGTAATTGTAACTTTTATTATAAAAACTTCATTAAGTGTAATTTAAGCAGTTGTATAGCCTAAAATCAGTCAGTTTTAACCTTCAATATTGTAGTAATGTAGTACCAACTGACTCTCATGTATATTTTACAGCATTAGTTAAGAGCATTTTTTTCCTTGAGAAAATTTGGCATGTGTACCTGATATATATCCAAAATAATCGACATTGAATAGAATCGCAAGCTTGTGAATGAGAATCGATTCGTGAAATCTGTGTCAAAACCCAGCCCTATGAATGAAGCTCACATTTTTAATTCCTCGTGGATAAAACTCGAGTGTGCTGTTTAACTTATATTTATCATATGAAAGTAAAATGGGTTTAAAAGCATTTCACACTGATTTTAAAGAAAGATTTTTGCGAAGTGTAAGAAAAGCGTTACCTGCAGTGACCTGAATCCTCCCTTGTAGTAATGTAAACACACACACACACACACACACACACACACACAGCAGAGGAGCAAGAGAGAGATGAAGAGTGTGTGTTACCCACTGGCACAGACAGTTAGAGGAACAGAGCAGCATGCAAACACAGCATTCAGCACTGTTCAGATTGAGACGACACAGTAACGGCCGGAAACATACTCTACACGAGCGGCACGCAAACACGGCCAATGCACTGCAAAAGGCAGATAGTGTTTCTGCCAATGTCTGTCTTTAAACTACAAAACTATTATTTTATCATCTTACTTTTTCCCTTTCTCTTTTATAAATAATTTTTCTTTCTATCTTTTTAATTTAATTATATTTATTATCATTCATTATTATTATCATTTATCATCAAACTATTTTTATTTTTTAACTATTTAATTGTATTACCTTACTTTATTAGTTGATTTTTCCTCTTTTTTAATTACTTAAATTTAAATTAATTTCTTTTTAATTATTTTTCTTCTTTCTTTTTTAAATGGTTTAATTTAATTGTATTATGTTTTTCTTTCGGTTTCATTTCTTTTTAAATTATTTAAATATTTTTATTTTCTAATTATTTAATTGTATTTATTTTATTATCTTTCGTTTTACTTTCCTTTTTTTAAATTAAGTTTAATTAATTTCTTCATTTAATTTGATCATCTTCTTGACTTTTTATTTATTCTAATTTTCTTTCTTTTATTATCTCGCTTCTTTCTTTTAATTATTTTAATTCATTTTATTTCTTTGAAATATTTTTTTTTATTCTTTCTTTTTCTTTCTTTTAATTATTCAAATGCATTTTTTAGTTTTTTTTAATTCATTTTACTTAATCTAACCTTTTCCTTCTTTTTAAAACAATTTAAAAGTATGTTTTATTATTTAATTTTTAATTTAATTCTCCCTCTCATCAGATAAATCAGGTATCTAGATATAAACTTTACTTTGCTTTTCTTTAAACTTGCTTCACAAGATTATCTCAAACTACTGCTCAGAAAGAGAAGACTTTATACTAGTTTATGATAATTACGCAACACTGCAAATACAATGCAGAACTCCTATCTCAATGACGTAGAGTATGTCTCAGGTCTTGTTCAGTGTATGTGGGTGTGTTTGTGTTAGTACCTGTTGTGGTAAAGCCCTAGGACCTGAGGCAAACTAGAAAGAGAAAGCCACATGTACAGAGGTCAAAGGTCAAGAAACCGAAGCAACACCAGCCACAAAAGCAGAGGAGAGATCCCGTTTTCCCAGAAGCACCTCAGTCGCTCCAATCTCACACACAACGAGAGGTCAGGAGGATGCAGGGCGACCTCTGAACTCAAGTACAGACGCTCTTAGATGTTCACTCGCTGATAATTCGTCTGGTTTGTCCAAACATGTCAGGCTAGATATAGGCTATGTTTTTCTGGACAAAACTTACATGAACCTCAATGTTTGCACAGGGATCATCCGATAAGTTCACAAAGTAAAAATCCCATTCAGAACCTTCAAGACCCAAAATACTGAAGCGAGATCCACTGATCAGAAAAGTGTAAATACTAGCTGTGCATAACAACTTCAAAATGAACGGAAACTAATTTTGCGATCTCTCATTGTCTTAAGATCTGTGCATTTACATTTGATTAATTTCTAAAAGGCAGCAGTAGTTTTGTTATTATTAACTAAAACTACAAAAAAGTTAATGCAAATAAAAAACTAACTTATTTCAGTTAGCTGGCAAGACAACCTTTCTAATTTTAATTTAAAGTTGACGTATTAAAATTAAAAGCAAAGCAAATTAATAAGCTAAACAGACATAAAAAACACTAATAAAATGACAAAAACACTTACTAAATTACTAAAACTAAAATGAAAACAATTTAAAATGTAAAATAAACATTATTAATAAATAACAAGTACAATAATACTTTTATTATTTAATTTTCTTTTTTTAATTTTCAAATGTATTTTTTTTATTATTATTTAAATTAAGAAGGTACTAATTTTGTATTAAAATTCAAGACTGATTTGATTCTATCTTTGGAAAGCATTTTAGGGCAACCATCATAAAATTAAAAGAATTAAAAAATCAAGATACAACAAAAGATTAAATATTGTATTTGTTTACCTGCATGCCATGTAACCATTGATTCTGAGAACTGTGACCATATGAATGTGCTTATTTATTGAAATAAGTTAAAATCTCAGGGAGATTTTGGGAATCTCTGCATTATGGAAGACCTTAGTGTTTTTCTGATGCTTAAGTCTTTAATACCTAAATACCTTTCAAATGTATATTAAATGTAACACGGGCTGGCTGGTTTGGTTTGGCTGGAAAACGAATGGGCCAATGACCCAGCAGGCCCACAGGAAGTGATGCGTTTCTGGGGTGCCGTACCTGTCGGGGTTGGGCGGCGGGGTTCATCTGCGGCGGAGGGGTGCCGAACACAATTGGCGGAACAGGAGAAAAACTGGGCTAAAGAGAGACACACGAGCATCATTCAATCATAGGAGTAATCCAGAGAGATCACAAGTAAAGATGCACCGATACTGAATTTCTCAGCCGATAACCGATTATTCAGAACGATATCTGCCGATATTGATAGTTCAGATTTCCTAAGAAAAAAAAAAAAATCTCCCATCTAATGCTGTAAACTAAACACTAGTGTGTAAGATTAGAGGTTAATATGAACAATAACACTATTACATTCAATGCTTTTTATTTTCAGATATAATAAATCACACTCAAATATAAAAACATCTGTATACAACTAAATTGCACTTTAGGTAGTTTTCATAAAAATTGGTCTTCACGACAGATTTATTCAAATATACTTATATAATTAACAGTAATTAAGCTCCCTCTAGTGTTTTCATAGCTAACTAATGAACTTTCTGTTGAAGCGATTATATTAGACATGATAGATTTCGGTAAGTTGTACTTTATTTTTCAACATAACTTCTGATGTTCATTCACATTTATTTTGTGCTATAACTTGTATTAAAGCGGAAGAGACTCGCGCTCCGCGCTGCCGCTTGAACTGAAGCGCTACAGCGATCCGTCACGCCACATTTAAATGCGACATTTAATGTTTGAATTTTACGATAAAACGTACAGGATTTAAAAGCTGAGATTGTATTTCTTATCCGAAGTAACAAAACGCAAAGCTTGTTGTGATTATTGGATTTGAGGCACATTACAAATAATGTTTAGTGAAGAAAAAAAACCAATATTTGGCAACCCTGGCTTGAACTATGGGTGGCTTATAGTTTATAAGTTCAAACAAAACCTGCATTAATGATATATTACTGCTTTAACTCAAATAGCCATAAATTTGACAAGACATTTTGGTTACACTTTACTTGAAGGGGTGTGCATAAGACTGACATGACACCTACATAATCATGACATGATACATGTCATGAATATGAAGGTTTTTTATGCATGTTTATGACAACTGTCATTAAGTGTCATTCGCTCAGTTATGTAATTTTTAATGCAAAGATGACATTGTTTGAGATGTCTTTGTTATGGGCTATGGTTAGGGGTAAGGGTACGGGTAGGGTTAGGTCAAATAATGTCATATTTGCATTAAAAATGACATAACTGAGCGAATGACACTTAATGACAGTTGTCATAAACATGCATAAAACCTCCTTCATATTCATGATATGTGTCATGTCATGATTATGAAGGTGTCATGTCAGTCTTATGCACACCCCTTCAAGTAAAGTGTTACCGACATTTTCTTCACGCAAGTTGCTGTCTGAAACATTTTGATTGACAGGATATAATCATCGGTTGTTTTTAATAAGGCTGCATGATAAATAGCAATGAAATCTCAATCGCGATTAGGCAAAAGCAGCAATAGTCATGCGCATCTTGTCAGTGAAGCACGGTTCTGTGATCAGCAGTAAATCTCCATCCGAAGGCCAGAGGAACTCCAAATATGCCCCGCAGAAGAAACCCAGGAAATAAACAGAAGATTTAACTGCTTTCATTGATAATAAACACAGGACCATGACAATATGTTTTATCGGAGTTCTTATTATAATTATTATTATTATAAGTTTCATTATAATAAAGTATATAATAATGCACTGCTAATCGACGTAGCCTTTATCATTGCACAGAATATTATGGAATATTATGCGTGTCTTATTCTGTGTAAGAAGCCAGATCATCTCACAGAAGGATTTATTTCAAACACTCGACTGATGTTATGAAGTGAGTCTGGAGTAAAAACATGTTATTAAATGTGGTATTTTCACATGCTTTCAGATGGAGCAGCATTTACTTCACAGAGCCGTAGTTCACTGAGAAGCTACGCAAACAGCTGTCATTATCGCTAACAATTTCTTCGGTTTCATAATTGCGCGATTATATCATCTTGTGATTTTTTTTGTGATGTGATGGAGATTTACTACTGATCACAGAACCGGCTTTACTGACAAGATGCGCATGACAATCTCATTCGATTAATCGTGCAGCCCTAGTTTTTAATACAGATTATCGGCCGATATATCGGTGCATCCCGGATCACAATGACTGAAAGAGTGACGCGAGTTACCTGGGACAGGCCCGGGGAGTGCGCGGGAAGCGGGGCGGAGGGGGGTCCTGACAGAGGCTGAGGTGCCTTATTCATTTCACCTGGAGCATCTGCATCGAGACGCAGTACTGACAAAACCTGAACCAGAGAGAGAGAGAGAAAGACAGAGAGACATATCAAGTTATTATTCAGCTGTTCATTGTGTCTTAAACTTAATTAGCGATTATAATGTCTGAGTGTAAATTATTAATGCTCAAGTCAGAAGTTCATGGTCGTCCGAACAAATAGAAAGCTCCGAGTCATGCTGAATCATCAGACAGCATTTGGTAAAGCTCAAGTGTGTCCTTTTTGATATTAACCCTCTTAAAAAAAACAAAACAAAAAAAAAAAATTTTTTTTGAAATGGTAAAATATTAAATAGGGTTGCAAAAAGTTGGAACATTTCCAGTAAATTTCGGAAACTTTCCAGACATTTTGGAAACTTTCAAGGCTTTCTGGAAAGTTTCCGGAAATTTACTGCAAATTTTCCACCCCTTTGCAACCCTAATATTAAAACAAAAAAAGTTTGCATATGTGTTTTTGGTTACACTTTATTTTAAAGTGTCCTTGTGAGAGTGTAATTATACATTTAAATACTGATTAAACTAAATGGTTAGGGTTAGGATTACTTGCATGTAATTATGCATAATATATTGTTATTATAATAGTAAGTACACGTAATGTGTAACAAGAACACATAATAACACAGTGTTACCGTGTTTTTTGTTGAGTATCATAATTGATCCATCAGGCTTTTATGGCTCATATAGTCTGATATAGAGAGAATATGTAGGAAAAACGTTCAATTGCAACACATTGCAACCATGCATGAGATGCCCACACAAGCGAGAAAAAATGCTTTACATGTCTTGAAATAATAACTTCTGAACATTAAACACTGACTGTCAGTTTATATTCACCTGTTCCTCGTGGTTTCTCATTAAAAGTCCTTACAGTACATAGAGTAAACTACATCGCTAATGTCACAGAATAGCACACAGTAACGCAGTGTTACAACGTACCCCATCTGCGCAACTGGAATTTAAAGACACATTGCAACCATGCATGAGATGCCCACACAAGCGAGAAAAAATGCTTTACATGTCTTGAAATAATAACTTCTGAACATTAAACACTGACTGTCAGTTTATATTCACCTGTTCCTCGTGGTTTCTCATTAAAAGTCCTTACAGTACATAGAGTAAACTACATCGCTAATGTCACAATAGCACACAGTAACGCAGTGTTACAACGTACCCCATCTGCGCAACTGGAATTTAAAACTTCTGCTAGTTATCAAAGCATAAAAAAAACTGATAAATAACAGATTGGAGATAATAAAAATAATAGCAAAAAACTGAGATGAAAAATGTACTTGAGCCACAATTGTAATTTTACTATGGTCAAATAAATGTTCAGCGATATCTTCAAAAATTGGTAACAGGGCTGAACGACTGAGGGGTAAAAAAATAGTAATAATTGCAATTTTGCAGAGAAAAATTGTGATTACAATTTAAAATGTGATATATTTTTTTAAAGAGCTTCAGATTTGCTTTGCTTGTTCGTAGGGCTGCACAATTTGGCAAAACGTAATTATATTAATATAATTATACAATAAAAATAAATATAATTTTAAAATAATTATTAAATAAAATATTAAACAAATCAAGAAACGTTACTATTGTAATAATTTTACTGTGCTATAAAATAAAAACTGGGAGCATTTAATAAAAATTATAATTATAAAATTATTTAAAAGATATATAGTTAATAAACAAAATAATACATTGCTATTGTAATAATGTTATTGTGCTATAAAATAAAATATTTAATTTTACAGTACATCTGTAAAATTACAATTAAAACCTGTCTTAATTTCTTCATTTTCAAACATGAAACCATCAAGCTTTTATTTTGACAGAAGACCAATATGCAGTATAATATAATTAGGATGTATTATTTGTTCTCTTAAAACATGCCTCTTTTTTATTTATTTATTGCTGTGTTTGTTTATATCAAAATATCAATATAGCTATATAGTATTAATACAACTATAATAATAGCACACTTTAAAAATAATTAAATAAAAATGCACATTTATTAAACAAAATAACAAATATATTACTAAATTAAATTACAGAAGATTTAATATCAGTGAATTACAGAAACTATCTAGATTTTTTGGAAACTTTCGGAAAATTTTTGGAAACCTTTAGAAAAGTTTTCCGACATTTACCAGAAATGCTCTACCCTTTGCAACCCTATTAAAGAATATTTTTTACTGTATCTGTAAAATTACAATAATGATACATGTATTAATTTCTTAATTTTCAAATGTTAACCCATCAAGTTTTTATTGAGTTATTTAGTGCTCCCCTAAAAGTATAAAAATAATCATTAATTAGAACTGAAGGCAAATTTGGTCAATTCTTTGTGAACCTCAACTGTAGGTTGTTGAGGTCTGAAGCTAAAGCTGCTTCCAGCTGCACCTCCAATTGCTGCAGCACTCATTCGTTATTTGGCTTTGTGTGTTTGACATGTGGCTGCATTTGTGAATGAATCAGAGGAACAGGACTGCGCCAAGAGACCAGCTGCCTGAGACTCAAACTAGTTTATATGGAGGGGGTTCAGGAGACACGGCTCTCTTTACAAGAGCCAAATATAGAGGCAAAGCTGCACAACTCTCACACTCACTCACACACACTCTCTCTCACACACACACACAGTCTCTCACACACACACACACAGTCTCTCACACACACTCTCACTCTCACACACACACACACACACTCTCACACACACACACACACACACTCTCTCTCTCACAGTCTCACACACACACACAGTCTCACACACTCTCTCTCACAGTCTCACACACACACACAGTCTCACACACTCTCTCTCACAGTCTCACACACACACAGTCTCACACACACACACAGTCACACACACACACACACACACACACACTCTCTCTCTCACAGTCTCACACACACACACACTCTCTCTCTCACAGTCTCACACACACACACACTCTCTCTCTCACAGTCTCACACACACACAGACTCACACACTCTCTCTCACAGTCTCTCACACACACAGTCTCACACACACACACAGTCACACACAGTCACACACACAGTCACATTCACACACACACACACACACACTCACATACTGAGGATACAGTACAGTACAGACGGACGTTTCTCACAGATACGGAGCTCAGCAGTGACATTACATAACGCTTAAACACACCAAAAGCCGAGTTCAAAAGGTTTTCAGGCCACAAATCAAAGAGATGAGGATTAAAAAGACCCTCAATCAGCTCTATTTTCTTTATTAATAATAGTTTCTGCTATTAAATCATTTATAAGGAACATTGATGATTCAGCAAATTTCTTTATAAATGGGATCCATTTCTGCTCGTTACTCATCAGTGAATGTAATTTCAAAGAATCTTCATAATCATGATGAAAAGGAAAGAATAACTTTCTAGCCACAATAACATTTTTAGAATGTCCAAAATACTGCAGAAAAGTACAACTGTATCTGTAGAAATCTGCAAAATGAACGCTCTCCCATATAGGCCTATGGAAATACACTTTTCTCCATGTCAGTGTTTTTATGAAACGAAAATAAAACAATGACCATATCGTATGATTTTAATAAATCAGATCTGAAACACAACAGTTTCAACTAGTGGTCAAACGCATTCATTGGCAATAGGGTTGGGTACCGAACTCTTAAGTACTTTTAAGGGTACCGACTGAATTGCGTCGGTACAGTAAATCAATCGGTGCCAAATTTCAGTAGAAAAGAACAGAATAGAATTAGTATGCCCCAAATCGTAGTATGTTGAAATGAGTATCCCAAAGATTCCCGGATGGTCTAATACTTCTGGCTAGAATTCGAAGTGCAGATCGATGCACACTCTAACGGCTAACATTGTGCGTTGAACGAGGATTCAATTAGAACTACGATCACGCATAAAAAGTGTTTAAAAAAACTACAAACATGGCAGATATGCGAGACCGACGAACAGGTAGAGAAAGGGGTTTAAATGATAAATAATGAATGTTTAACCTGATGAAAAAATATTTGTTTAATGTTATCCGCATTGTATTTAATCTGCAGCAACATAGCAAACTTTTATATACGTTTGGTCATTAACTTTTAAATGCATCATTATGCAAACACATGAGCAGTTCTCGGCATGAAACACACGCGACTGGCAGATCAACGCGCCTCTTTATTTCTCTCCAATACGGTAGGAAAAGAAATGAAATGTGAATGATGTGAATATGTAAACAAAGCAGCGCTGCGCTTATGAACAGCAATGATACGGCGTTTCCTGGGTTACCGCTGTAAACAAAGCAGCGCTGCGCTCATGAACTTTAATATGCGTTATACAGAGGCAAGATGAAAAGAAAAAATACCATCTAAACTTTTCTAAAGACAGTAAGTTCCCCTCAGACATACATTCATATAAACTCCTGCCCCTAATTGAATCACGATTTGTTTAGCATCTCAACTGATTTGAATCGTCACATATTTTAATCGATTTTCAACCGGCTCGCGGTTAATCGTTACATCCCTAAGTCTTAACAGTATTCAGGTCCAGAAATTGAATAATCAAATGTAAATTAACACTGCATAGTCTTCACTGTATAAATTAAATCTAACAAATCTGTTAAAGCTACAAAAGTGATTTTTCTCTGTGTTTTGTTGTTTGATTAACATTCATGACACAGAAAGCCTCATTAAACTGCTGTGAACCAAAATACTGTTACACGTCCGTTTCCTTTCTCAATTGTTTACCTACACCTGAGCAACTTACAAGGATACTTGCAGAGACATGCATTTTGACAATTTCGCACAAATAGACGCAGAAGTGAACAGAATTCAGTGTTCACGTGCATCTGCGTGGCTCTCACCGTGTCTACACCGGACACGAGCGGTGCGACGCGACAAAATACTGAACCCATTATAATCAGCGATGCTGTCTACAGATGCGGCGCGACACGACAAATCACTGACAGTAAACAGCTGCCTCGTTCTATTCACGACGTGCTGACACACGTTTCATCAATGCTTTAACGATATATCGTGCAACCCTAATCCAAACAGCTGATAA